GAAAAGAAGAGGAAGGAGTTTGAGAGCATAAGGAAGGAGCATTGGAGACAAGAGGAAGCTTCACGGAGAACAAAGAAATGTGAAAAATCGGATATGATTTGACCCGGAGATAATAAGAGATCAAATAAAGCAAGTGAACATGGGAAAATCAGATTATGTGTTAGACCCAACCACCTCACTTCTCCTATAAAAACACCCCTTTCCTTCCTATTTTAGATACCAATTTAATCCCCTCTTTCACATACACTTTATTCTTGTAATTTAGGTAGTCTTTCCATCTTGGTTTTGCTACTTTGAAGCTTAATGAATTTGTAAGTTGTGAGTTATTCTCTTTAATCTTCTTCCTTGAATATTAATTCTTCCTTTAAATACTATTTCTATATCAATGTTGGGGAGTGTTACTAAGATGACAATTAGTTAACATCTTGACATTAACTATAGTAGGATTCATCTTTAATATTCTTCCTTGAGTATTAATTAATTCCTATACATATTTCATATTAATATTTTGAACATTACTTAAAGGATCAACTAGTTTTGTTTCATATATTAATTATTACTAGAATCGGTCGATTAATACGCTTGTTATTAATTCGGCCTTTTCGCTGTAGTAAACTTGGGTTATTAATGCATGCGTTTCATGGTTAATAAACCAAGGGGAATTAATTATATTGATTAAACCAATAAACCGCTTGTGTTGAGGTTATCAATCTCAATCGTTTTCATCTTGATTTTATTGCTACTATCGAGTGAATATACGACGCTTGTTCTATATTAACTCGGTAGTAAGTTTTATTAATGAACGCGTCTCGTTATTAATAACTACCCTCGATGAATTGGATATACTCCTCGATTGAGTATTCGAGAGGAAGATAGTTAAAGATATAACCGGGATCGACGAACATTTCATTAAGTGGATAAAAGCAAAACCAAGACTAATTACCTTTGATATTGTATTTCACTCATTTAACTATTTTATTTGCTTTCTTAATTATCAAAATATCCAATTCCCCCTTCCGTTTACTTTTATTTATTACGCTTACACATACGCGAAAAGCTCCTTTCCCTGTGGATACGAACTCTACTACGCTATACTACGGTATTAGCCCTTAGTAGTGAATTTAATTTGAGGCACACTACGACAAAGTGCTCGTCAAATTTGAGGGTATATACCCGATCGGGTATGCCCAGAAAAGTGACTTTCTGGGCAATTTCCTGAGATACCCGATCGGGTATCCTATATACCCGATCGGGTATCAGACCCTACAGCTCCCAAAAGCCTATAAATACACCCCTTTCCTTCACAATAAAATCATCAATTCACATATACTCTTTAGCTCAGTTTAGATTAGTGTTTTCTTTATATTTTCTATCATGTTTAGTCTCCAAATGAGGAGCTAAACTCTTCCATCTTGGTTTTGCTACTTTGAAGCTTAATGAATTTGTAAGTTGTGAGTTATTCTCTTTAATCTTCTTCCTTGAATATTAATTCTTCCTTTAAATACTATTTCTATATCAATGTTGGGGAGTGTTACTAAGATGACAATTAGCTAACATCTTGACATTAGTTATACTAATAATTATTTCTTCCTCTACGTTAATATTGGGGAGTGTTACTAAGATGACAATTAGTTAACATCTTAATATTAACTATAGTAGGATTCATCTTCTTTAATATTCTTTCTTGAGTATTAATTAATTCCTATTCATATTTCATATTAATACTTTGAACATTACTTAAAGGATCAACTAGTTTTGTTTCATATATTAATTAATACTAGAATCGGTCGATTAATATGCTTGTTATTAATTCGGTCTTTTCATGGTAGTAAACTTGGATTATTAATGCATGCATCTCATGGTTAATAATCTAAGGGGAATTAATTATATTGATTAAACCAATAAACCGCTTGTGTTGAGGTTATCAATCTCAATCGTTTTCATCTTAAGTTTATTGCTACTATCAAGTTAATATACGGCACTTGTTCTATATTGACTCGATAGTAAGTTTTATTAATGAACGCTTTTCGTTATTAATAACTACCCTCGATGAACTGGATATACTCCTCGATTGAGTATTCGAGAGGAAGATAGTTAAAGATATAACCGGGATCGACGAACATTTCATTAAGTGGATAAAAGCAAAGCCAAGTCTTCTTCTCATTAATTAAACCACATAACTCGTTCATCTTCGTGGTTAATTTATTAAACCAAATCAAACTAAAACCCCCCATTTTGTTACTAGTTCTATAAAAAGAAAAGTATTCCTTTCCCTGTGGATACGAACCTTACTACGCTATACTACGTATAAGTGTTGTATTGTATTATTATTTTGAGTGCACACTACGACAAAGTGCACGTCAGTTAGTCCTGAGCAATTTTTAGCTAACACATTGTTGAGAATATAATGATATTTGGTCGAATGTGGTCGTCAAAGTACAATCATGCGCATATTGCACTTTCATAGGGAAATCCTTCTCCCAATAACTTTTCAATAATGGATATCTTTTCTAGTATCCATATTTCGACTGATCATGGGGGTGCTAACAGTTTACATTTATCCATGTTAGTTTGCCTGAGAATTCTTTTGGATATATGTAACTGGTGAATTAATATTCAACCAACTCGGTGTTTAATTCCAAAACAGATCCGAGTTTCCCAAGATCCTTTATCTCAATTATGACTTTCAAGTATCTAACATGTCTCATGTTCCATTATGAGTACATATTATGTCTATATCATGGAGATATAGTGATACTTGGAAACAAACCATATTTCCTTTATAAATGCGCAAGGCATAATATATTCATTTTGCATCCCTTTTCAGTCAAGTGGTCACTTAGACGAGTATGTCACTCCCGTCGGGATTGTTTTAATCCAAATGTGAACGTATATAATGTAATTAAAAACCACTTGATTAGAAATGAAAACATAACTGCTTCATAAAACATGACAACTGCTCTTAAATAAGGTTGAGACATTTACTTGGTGCCTCCAATCTTTAGCTGCGTCTCCATTACTTTGGAGGTTACTTAGAGATAAGTATTTGAACATTTTTGTGTTCAAAATAGGGAAGTATAATTGTTCTTATTTGAATCCAGGGCGTTCAATACGCTTTCTAACAAAGAATTATTTTATGTCCTACGGGCTTTACACTTGGTTGATTAGCACTATCATACCAAATACTTGTCTCTTTGTCAAATATTAAATTTGTACTTGGATTCTTTTACACATTTAGGCCAATATTCTCATTGCTTTCATATTGCAATAGAGTATGGTTCGATATCATCGTGCTCTATACTCCTTTGAGCAACCGTATAAATATATCGTCAGTATAAGTGTATGGTCGACTCATACACATTCTCATTAACATTGAGATTTTAATTCTCTGGAATCATTTGAACTTCGGGGCGTCTGACGTGCACTTTGTCGTAGTGTGCACTCAAAATAATAATACAATACAACACTTATACGTAGTATAGCGTAGTAAGGTTCGTATCCACAGGGAAAGGAATACTTTTCTTTTTATAGAACTAGTAACAAAATGGGGGGTTTTAGTTTTGATTTGATTTAATTAACACTAAGATGAATGACTTAAATGAGTTTAATTAATGAGAAGAAGACTTGGCTTTGCTTTTATCCACTTAATGAAATGTTCGTCGATCCCGGTTATATCTTTAACTATCTTCCTCTCGAATACTCAATCGAGGAGTATATCCAGTTCATCGAGGGTAGTTATTAATAACGAGAAGCGTTCATTAATAAAACTTACTATCGAGTCAATATAGAACAAGCGCCATATATTAAATTGATAGTAGCAATAAACTTAAGATGAAAACGATTGAGATTGATAACCTCAACACAAGCGGTTTATTGGTTTAATCAATATAATTAATTCCCCTTAGATTATTAACCATGAGATGCATGCATTAATAATCCAAGTTTACTACCATGAAAAGACCGAATTAATAACAAGCGTATTAATCGACCGATTCTAGTATTAATTAATATATGAAACAAAACTAGTTGATCCTTTAAGTAATGTTCAAAATATTAATATGAAATATGAATATGAATTAATTAATACTCAAGAAAGAATATTAAAGAAGATGAATCCTACTATAGTTAATATCAAGATGTTAACTAATTGTCATCTTAGTAACACTCCCCAATATTAACGTAGAGGAAGAAATAATTATTACTATAACTAATGTCAAGATGTTAACTAATTGTCATCTTAGTAACACTCCCCAACATTGATATAGAAATAGTATTTAAAGGAAGAATTAATATTCAAGGAAGAAGATTAAAGAGAATAACTCACAACTTACAAATTCATTAAGCTTCAAAGTAGCAAAACCAAGATGGAAGAGTTTAGCTCCTCATTTGGAGACTAAACATGATAGAAAATATAAAGAAAACACTAATCTAAACTGAGCTAAAGAGTATATAGGAATTGGTATCCCTTTTGTGAAGGAAAGGGGGTGTATTTATAGACTTTTTTGGGGTGCAGGTCGGGTACTCGATCGAGTATATACATATACTCGATCGAGTATGTGTAGAAATCAGAATTCGGTCGATACTCGATCAATACTCGAGTAGATTTTATATGTATACCCGATCGAGTATGTCGGTGTACTCGATCGGGTATAACAATAGAACGTGGCCAAATCTTTCCTTGCATGTTCCTTTGTTCCCGGATCGGATCCTTGAAAATCAGTATTGGTACTCGATCGAGTATAAGGTATACTCGACCGAGTACAGGTCAAAATCAGGAACTTTCCTTCTTTTTGTCTTGTACTCTTGCACCTTCCTCCACCAATGATCATTTGATTGATCTTGGACCTGTTTAAGCTCAGAATAAACCTAATCTAAACAATTTACAAGAATTTAACAAACTAAACTATTACACCGAAAGTGTGTAATTTCCAAAATATTAAACAATCAAAACTAACTAAAAACGTAAATAAACATACGGAAATTACAAACGTATCAACCCCCCCACACTTAGTTCTTTACTCGTCCTCGAGTAAAGTCAAAATGTTTCAAATAGTTTTAAGATCATTTTATGAGTTCAAGAAGGAAAAGAACTAAGATCACCAAGAATAAAAAAAAATGATTTTACAAACAACATTCTTTCTTGGGTTTTATGATCTTCTATGCTCCATCTTCTTGCCTCTTCTTCTCCTCTTTCTCCCAAAAGATCAAATGAGTTCCTGCACACAACAAATATTTCTCTCATATCTCTCATTTTGCCTAGGAGCCTTTTCAGGTTTTCATCCTAGCATCTCTTTTTGTTTTTCCATCCTTACTAACTCACTCATTACATTTTTTTTATAAGCCATTTTTGCTTAGATTGCCCATTCTTGGGTTTTCAACCTAACTAGCACTTCAATTCTTTTATTTATCCATTTTTTTTTGTGTACAAAGAGTAAAAGAAATTCATGCGTAGTAAAGGATAGAAAATGAAATTACATACCATGAGTAATCTCCTCCCCCACACTTAGTTGAAGCACTGTCCCTAGTGCCCGCCTTCTCCGCCGTAGTAACTGCCTCCAAAGCCGCTTCCAAAGCCTCCTCCAAAGCCCCCGTCGCCCATGTGAGCATCCCCGCCGTCATAACCTCCACCCCCGGAGCTAGATCCTCCAAAGTTACCCCATTGAGAGGGGTCATACCAAGAGGGGGGTGGGGGTGGCTGAGCCATAGTATGGAATTGGCCTTGTTGAGCCATGTAAGAGTACATAGGTCCATAGAACCTACGTTGGTCTTCTTCATAACGCCGGTTATCTTCTGTCCTTTGCTCTTCTAGCCTTAGAAATCCAGCCCGTTGTTCTTCCCTATATCGGCCAACTTCTTCGGTTACCTTGTTGAAACCATCAAGGAGTTGTTGGAAATAGTCGGGAGGTGGTTGAACTTGGGGTTGTTCGGGTATGTGGTCATGAAGGGCTTCATGATGGTGGGCTTGAGGTTGGTCTTCGGGTTGATTTTCTGGTTGGTTTTCGGCTTGAGGTTCTTGCAAATGTGGTGGAATGGCATTGGGCAACAAATAATGAGGCATATCTCTATTGTATAGTATCTTGGGGAGGTTTGGGTTGGGTAAGGTAAAGTGCCGGATGGGGGGCGGGTGTATATGCCAATTGTACACGTTATAGGAGTGGTCATACTCATACACCGTACGAGAGAAGGATATGCAATTCGCATGGGTTAAAAAACCAATGTCCATCAAACAATAGTCGGGTATAGGGGAGTTGTCCCTATACCCAAACTTGGTGACCAAATGCATAATCACTCCTCCCACAACAATCTTGCCCTTAGCCAAACTTTCCTTTTTGAGATGTGCCCACATTAAATTGCACAAATTAAATTCTGTGATGCGCCGAAATAAAACCTGTGTCATCAAGCACACATCTCCTATCCTCGTGTGGTGATTGTTGGGGCGCCCAAGTATACAATTCGCCATGAATTTTAAAAAGATTTGGAGAATGGGGTGTTGGACATGGCTTATGTATAGCTGGGAGGAGTTAAATTGTAACTCTCCCATCATTCTTCTCCAAAGTGTATGACCATCTCCGGTGCTATCGGGAATGGTTCTCTCATGTGGAACCGGGATGCCGAAGTGGTCGGCAAATTCATGTTTCTTGATTGAATAGTGTTGATTAAAGAGACGAAACGAGAGTGTGTCGTCCCTAAAATCCTCCTCATTGGTTTCAAACTTAGCCGAACTCAAGAACTCATAAATAATTTTTTCGTTTGAGTTGTATTGCATATAGAAAATGCGTTCCATATTCAACTCACGAAAAAATTTCCTAGTACTCTTAAAAATTCCCAAAGTACGAAGTGCTTCATGGCAAAGAAAACGAGATGGTTTAACTTGCCTTGCAATGGTGGAGAGGAGTCTAGTTCGGTGTTCGGCGTCGGCGGGAATGATGTCCTCAAAGCCCGGGATTGGTGCTATGGTGCTTGAGTTCTCTCCCCTATTCCTCCTTGGTGCCATTGTTGATGGTTGGAGCTTGACAATCCAAATAATTCGAAAATGGGGTAGGGTTTCGGATTTTTGGGGATTTTGGGGGAAAATGGGATTTGTTGGTAGATATGTGTAGAGGAGAGTGAGGGGAGTATTTTGGTGGTGAAATGGGATGATTTGGTGGAGAAATGAGGGAGTTTTGGTAGAGAGAAGGTAGGGAAATGGAGTTTTGGGGGAGAGGGTTTCGAAGTTGGGAGTGTTTTGGAGAAGATGAAGTGAAAATGGGTGTTGTTTGGGTATTAATCGCAGGGGTACCCGATCGAGTATCCCTGTATACCCGATCGGGTACCGGAGGCAGGGGATAGAATATGGGTGTTTTCTGAGCATACTCAACCGAGTATCAACTTATACTCTCGAGTACTGAAGGCAGGGATGAGATAAAGTGCTCTTTTTCTTTATACTCGACCGAGTATGAACATGTACTCGATCGAGTACTGGAGGCAGACTTTTTTGTTCTTTTTATTTCAGCTCATACTCGACCGGGTAAAGAAATATACCCGATCGAGTATGCCTCCATTTTTGGAAATATATGGCTACTTCGATCGAGTAGTGCCTTGGTTCCTTTTTTTAGACAATACCCGACCGAGTATGAGATGGTACTCGATCGAGTATGTCCCCAGACACTTCAAATCCTGCATTTTCTTCTTCTTCAAAACAAACATGTGATTAGTTCCCTCTCTCTCTTTTCTCTCAAATTCACACAAAAAGGAAATAAAATCTAACTAATTGACTTGGGTTGCCTCCCAAGAAGCGCCTTATTTAACGTCGTGGCACGACGTTTTATTTATTTTTATTTTTATTTTATGTGGGATCGTGAGCATCCCTTCCTTCATTTCTTTTCTTAAGCCTTTTCCAGTAAGGCCGACCTTTCTTCTTTGTTCCCAACTCAATTAAAACATTTGGTGTTGGTGGTTCAAAAACATTTAAAGAACAAAGAGATTGATCTTTAATTTGTTTTTTCGTAGAGTCAAAGATGTTGAACTCTACTTTTTGGTCATTGAACTCTAAAGTTAATGAACCACTAGACACGTCAATTTTTGTTTTTGCGGTCTTTAAGAAGGGTCTTCCCAAAAGGATGGGTGTTGTTTGGTCATCATTCCCCATTTCGAGGACGTAGAAGTCGACGGGAAAAACCATATTCTCTACTTCTACTAGCACATCTTCTAATACACCCTTCGGGTAGGTACTAGAACGATCTGCTAGTTGAATCACCACACCGGTTTGATGTAGTGGGCCAAGTTGTAGGGTTTTATAAACGGAATAAGGAATGACGTTTATAGATGCCCCTAAATCTAATAAGGCCTTAGGAAATGTGGTGTTTCCTATCGTGCAAGGTATGGTGAACATGCCCGGGTCGCTACATTTTTTGGGAAGTTTCTTTTGAAAAAGAGCCGATACATGTTCACTAGTCTTGACCTCTTTTTTTTCTTTCAATTTATCTTTTTGTTTGGTTTTGCATAATTCTTTTAAAAATTCAGCAAAACGGGGAACATTTTTGACTGAATTAAGGAGCGGAATGTTTACCTCACACTTGGCGAAAGTCTCATAGATGTCAGCATCTTTCTCCAGCTTCCTTGTCTCCATTAACGCCTCAGGGAATGGGGCCAATAGCTCATAAGATGAAAGTGGGGGGCGTTTTGCCTTTGTGGTTCTCTCCTCAGATTGAGCTTCTTCTTTATGATCAACCTTCTTAATCTCTTGGTTGTTCTCCTTCAACATGATCACATTCACCTGTTGTCTCGGATTTTGCTCCGTTTGAGATGGGAGTTTACCTGAGTCCTTTGCTTCCAGTCGGCTCACGGCATTTGAAATTTGGCTAACTTGAGTTTCCAAATTATGAATGCTTGACTTTGTCTCATGCTGAAATTGAATCATGGTTTGTTGAAATTGTCCCATGTTTTGTTGCAGGGTAACCATGTTTGAGGTCAAAGTTCTGATCATGTCATCCGTTGATATGCTAGATTGAGAAGATGGGTTGGATTGTTGAGGGTTTCCATACCTCAAGTTTGGATGATCCCTCAAACCAGGGTTGTAAGAGTTTGAGAATGGATCGTACCTCCTTTGTTGATGGCCTTGGAAACCCAAGGCATTGACTTGCTCTGTGTCATTTTCTTGAAGAGTCGGGCATGAGTCAGTGGGATGCCCTTGTTGTGTACAAATGCCACAGACCTTGACTTCTTGGGTCTTGGATTTTAAGAGGAAATCCTTAACCAAAGAAGTCAAGCCGTCAACTTGACTCTCCAGTGATGATGTCGATTCTGCAGCGGCAACTCTACGAGTTGAGGATCTGCGACCGAATTGCCGTGAGTTCTCGGCCAATTCTGAGATAAGATTTATAGCTTGTGAAGGAGTTTTATTAACAATGCCGCCTCCACAAGCGGCGTTCACCATTCTTCTATCATCATCAACAAGACCATCATAAAAGTATAAGATGAGGTCTTGTTCTGAGTAGCCATGATAGGGGCAGCTAGCACATAGCTTTTTAAATCTTTCCCAAAATTCATATAAGGATTCATCATCCTTTTGCTCGATCACTACTAGAAAATCTTGTATTTGCTGCGGTTGTTTTAGCCTATTTGCTGCGGTTTTGAACCGCAGCAATAGCAGGAGCAGCAAATAATGGAATATACTTATTGCTGCGGTTGGGACCGCAGCAAATAGGATAAATTTTTTTACAGAAAAAATTGCTGTTAATGTACGACCGCAACAAGTACTGCTGTAGGGTCATTATCATACTATATACAAAGCGACGTGAGAATATTGGCAAAATTCCCGCCTAAACATTCTGCTCAAAGACCAAGGTGTATTCGGAAGTCAATAGGAGATTTAAAGAAATTGGATAAAAATGGTCTGACCTGGTCAAGATAATCAGGCTAGGATAATGTAGTGTATTGGAATTTTAAACAATTTGTGGTCATTTCACATCTGCCGGTCTATGTCATCTGAAAAGTAGAAGTGAAGTGGAGAAATACGGAGTTACAGGGAAGCTCGAGATTTAGGTTTAGCTCTATAGTCTATACCCTTCCTGAACTCCTCTCTCGGGTCTTGAGAGAGAGAGATGAGATTGCCGAGTGGGAAAGGAGGCCCAGAAGCTGTGGAGCAGGTGAGTCGCCGGAGTGGGAGTCGTGGACTGTGGGTGCCGCCGCCGACGCGGTCAACAGTTCAGTTGGGCCGTCAGGGAGAGTAGCCGGGCTGCCATGCTAACGCAGGCGGCTGAAGCATTTTGATGGTTATTATTGTATTACTATTTATTAATTAAGGACTGTTATCTGTATATATGTCAAACATGTGGGATATTAGTAATATAAAATTTTGCCGTAGTATATTAGTATACGTAGTATTACATTGATATGTGAGGAGGATGATCAATTGATTGATCATACCACTAATGCTATACGTTTTGTACCTTTATTATTTTAGTATGAACACTTATTACCTTTTCAAATGTTATACGTAACATATCTTTTATAATATTTACATTTTCCCTTCTTTGATGATGTTTTAATCATTCTTTAATTACGAACACTTATGGTATTACTTATTACTTTATTTTGTATTTAATTATTTATGCGTTTTTATAATAGTTCTTAATCACACATTGATAAATTTTCATCCGTGCATCGCACAGGTGAGAATCTAGTTATAAACAATAGCAAATGGATCGTATCATTGCTGAATAAGCTGCTTTCTAATTACACAAATAGACAATTGCGAAATTTTGCACCCAAACAAAACACGTATACCAATACAAATCATTTTTATAATATATTAATAGAATAACTAACATCATCTCACTTATCCACTAACAACTAATACACGTCCAATAAAAAAAATACATTGACTATGGACTAGATTAATAGCAATAACGTCTCCATGTTTCTTCCTTGGATCCAAAAAGTGCCGCT